CTATATATAGAGTATTCATATTTTTGCACATTTTTACAGTTTTAAATCCTGTTTATTTACACTGGACCTTGGCCTTCGGTGTATCCAGTGTTTGTTACAAGCTGTTTTACCTGCCCTCCACCTGTTAAACAGATGGCTGCAGCAGCAGGTGGGTGGGGCTTCTGTTCTATAACGATCCACTCTTAATGACATGCAGAGCCAAGAAGAGAAAAAACATGTGCTTTTGCCTCTACAGGGATTACTTGTACATATAGTCAAAGAATGTCCTAAAGGCTTTCTGTAAGTCATCTGATTACATGTAAATGTTCCATGTATTTCGCTACATGAGTAAAATGTGAAGCATTAAACTTCATGGAATCTGGTCAAATGAAATATACTTGATTTGCTTAATGATTCATTATTTAAATATAAAAATCTTTGATTTTATATTTTTTCAGTTTACTCCAAATTCTTGCTTCATATTTAAGATGGCAAAGAATCAGTTGTTTGAGTGTATGCTGAACTCATTATCGGAAGGTTTGGTAATGTTTACTATGAGACTCTACTATTTTAACATTATGTATAAACAGAAAATAAAGACGAACACAGTAAATATACTGTAAGGTCAGAAAGCAACAATGCTTTGAGCAATTCTGGTTAAAATAAAAACAAAAACTGGAGAACAGCAGTGTCGTGGGTAATGTTGTCATACTGGTCAGAGCTTGATGATGTAGGTAATGAAGGAAAACGTAAAGGGTTTTTAAGATAACAATGAGCAGACCCAGGGCAACATTTTCAAGTAGTCCTGGATCTTTAATGCAGAAAGATATCAGTTCGAATGCAGTAATACATTTTAAAATAAACAGCCACACAGGGACAGACCATCATCAGGGTGTGCCCATGTTTGCATTTCTACATATGTTCATAATGTGCCAAGTAGGTGCCTTCCTGTTTTTGCTTAGATTCTCGCTGGGTTTAGAAATCAGGTCTGTGTCACACATGCTTAAGGAGACACACAAAATATGCTCCAACTTCTTTGACTTCTATGCCTGAAAAAAGCATTTTCATTCAAAGAGATCCCCCTTTCTTCTCAGGACAGAACTTAATTTATTCTTTTTTTTTTGTGAACTGCCCCTTCTCAGTTCAGATCTAACTTTTTTTTTCTTTCTCAGAAGAAAGCAGCAGCTAACTTGCTGACCTCAAAAAGCAGCTTTAAACCGGATTCTTGCATTGCCCAGAAATGGATGAGAATTGCGTTGAAACTCAAAAACTCATCTTCACAATTAGAGATTCAAACAATAGCCTTTCATTGAATGCTAAGACAAAAAGAGGAGTGCTTTGCCTTTGCCACAGCCAATCAGCAAACATCAGGTTTTGTGATAGTCGGTGACATTACCTATTCTAACCAATCAGTAATGGTCTGGAGCATGTCAAATTTCAGTGTTATTCCTAAATCTGGGAAATTGGGTTTTTCACCCCTTCCTACTCCAACACTTGTGGTCATAACATCAAAACTAACTGGGGTAGGTTGATTAAACCCATACAGCACATAGTTCAAAAGTGTTGTGAAAGCAACACGTTCTGATCCCAAAACATAACATACCAACGCTACGTAACAAATCGTTGGTATGTTACGCGTTCGGAAAAAAGAGAACCGTTTGGAAGGAATCTAGACATGTACATTTATTTTACTTTCTCATCATGAATCGCTTTGGAAAACACTATCTAATATGGTTAAGGTTGTGGTCAAGGTTAGGGATAAGGTGGTTAATGTTAGAGTTAGGATTAAGGTCAGGGTTAGGGCTGGAATTACTGCTGGGCACGTCATTCTATTGAATTCCATCCACAATCCAGCGCATGTCATAGGGATACGGAAGGTTACCTTTCGCGTGACTATGAGATGCCTCGGGACATGACAAATTGTCGGTATGATACACGTTGGGAATGAGAACGGTCTGTGTGAAAGGTGGCGATTGTGTTGACTTCTAGACATTTGATCATACGCCCTACTCTCCTAAAGCGCAAGGGATAATAAATTCATTTTTAGGCATGCACCAGATGCACCTAGTGAGTCTTGTGTTTAAAGAACCCTATTGTAAATGTAGAGCAGTGGTAAATAGGGTACTGGATGTTGCCACACCTTTGTATATCACGAAACAGTGATGCAGTGAGAAATTGATCCCATTTATAGAAATAGTGAAATATGATGTTTTGTTTGTTTTACAACCTAATTAATACTTAATTTGCATCTGCTGGTGTTTATTTTGACTGCAATTCCTAGTGCTAAAATTAATTTAGTAATCCAGTACTTTTAATTTATTTACTTTTTTGTGTCTTGTTATAAATTTAAATCTTCTATATCACTACATTTATTTTCAGTAGCTCTACATTACACTGTTGTTGACACTGTTATTTTCACTGGATAGTGACTTTTAAATGTATACTGTTTTTATTGTTTTTAGACACTTTTTGGAAAAGTGTCTAAAAACAACTAAAACCACAGGTGTTGAACTCCAGGCCTCGAGAGCTGGTGTCCTGCAGGTTTTAGATGTGTCCTTGATCCAACACAGCTGATTTAAATGGCTAAATGACCTCCTCAACATGTCTTTATGTTCTCCAGAGGCCTGGTAATGAACTCATCATCTGATTCAGGTGTGTTCTAAAACCTGCAGGACACCGGCCATCAAAGCCTGGAGTTTCGACACCCCTGCCCTAAACGATCGAGGAACCATGGACGGTCACTTCATTGACCTTTATGTGCACCATAAAAATGAAAGTCACACAAGTTTAAAAAAAAAAAAAAAGTCCTGTAAAAGTCTCCAAAATATTTATTGAGTCAGTCAGAGTTTATCCAAAGTTGTGAGCCAAATATCAACAATTTCAGCTAAAAAAAAGAAAAAAGGACACAGCCAGAAGGCTGAAAAGCAGCTCTGCTTAAATCCTCTCATCCTTGCTCAAACAGCCCTCTGTTTGCAAGTAAATAATCTCATCTTCACTTATTCAGTGGCACATTAAATCATTTATGAGGACGTAACGGTCACATTTAATAACAGCTCAGTGCCACAGCTAGACACAATCTCATGTTTATAAAATATAAGTGGAGAAATTAATATGCTCTATAAAACAATCATTAGGATGTGAGGACACACCATCACACTGTTGTGCTTTGATTATAACCCACATATAAAGATTCAATTACTCCAGTCTGCTCGGAAAAGGCGTAAATCTAAGCCAGTTTAAGTTGGGAGGTGATATTGAAGCCAAATCAAATATTACCGTGATGTACGTCTGGATCCCCGTTAATCCAGCAACAACAGAAATTTGCGATGCCTTCAGGGTATCGCAGGGATAATGCCAAGAGCCACGGCTCCACGATTTACATAGTTGATCTAACAATCAGTGTTTCCCAGCCTTTCCTCATACGGTGTGGGACGGTTTGTGGACTGAGTGGTGCTCTGGGTAAACCTCTTTACCATGCAGATCAAACAAAAGCAGACAGACTGGAGGGCTTGTGGCTACACAGCTCTCAGCACATTTAGTGGATTTAGTCTGTTGTGGCGGCGACCCAATGACAACTTCACCGAGTGCTGAGCAAATCCTTCAATCCACAGATTGACGCTCCCGAGCCTCTCAGTCAAATAAGGCCATTAGTGCCATCGCAAGTAATCTGGGCCTCCAGCACCCACAGATTGAGCCTTTTGCTCCACCGAAAAAACCCACGCGGTGGAAGCGCCCCAGACGGGCTGGAAACCCCTGAAAATGAGCGAAGCAATGGCTCCAGACTCGGATGCCGTGATTCACAGGGAAAGCCCAGCATGCAGCGTAAGGCGGAAAAATCCTTCCAACAGCAAGCTAAGTTTACCAAAAAAGTTTGGTTTTAGCAAAAGCTTGAAACTATCCTGAAAGGCTGTGTCAAAACTTCCTGTAAGTACATATTCCACCACTGTTGGCACATGGCTATCTTATTGTGTTTGTTATTGCCACCCTCTAATCATACTGACTGTATCACAATAAGCTCAAAACAGGAGTGCCAGAGCTCTATTGTCAAACTCCTATGAAAGAAGCAAATTGCTTATAAGTTTAAAAAGAAAATCTATTTTAACAACAGCCCCAATAGCATAATCAAAGTCCCGAGCCTGGTTCATAGCTGCTCTTTAACCGAACAATCCTTGTTCTCTTTACAGCCAGTCATCATCATGTCATACCCAGAGCTCATAACAAATCTCAGTCTGCAGCCCACGGCCTTCATAAACACCCTCCTAAAACAGAACAATGAATTTGACGCTTCAACGCGCTGCCACCCATTCTGCTTTTAACATCCTGTGCTAATAGACATTATGAGACAGCCACGCTGGCCCTAGCTCACCTGAGCTGGGGAAAAATATGGTCCTACCTTCACAGTAAGTAGAATCCCCGTGGATGGAGGCATAGCCACTCTTGCATTCACACTCTGCTTTAGTATTCCTGTTTTTACACTCTGAGTTTTCCCCACAAATGAGTCCCTCTGCGCAGAAGTCATAACCTAAAAGAAAAGAGCAAAGGAAACCTTTGAAATCTGCTCACTCAAGGCTATAAAAAGTTGTGTACAGACACACAAACACACACACATGCATGCCCGTAACACAAAGATAAAAGCAGATAAATGCACAAAGGAGCAACCTTGTTCCTGTCACCTACAACACTGTGGATAACAGGGTGCCTGAAGTGTACGGTGAGTTTACAACTTTGAATAAATCTGGTGTATTAATGAAAGTTCTCATGTAAAAGTGCACGTGCTAACGAGACAAAACATGCAAATGCAGACACACACACACACACACACACTCTGCTGATGTAGGAAGATCTCCAAGTCATCAATTCACTCGGCTGAGTGAGCCACGGTGCTCTTACAGTATTTGAAGACATCATTTTAATGAAATTTCAATTTCTGAAAAACCACAACTAACGCAACAGGTGGAGCACTGCGTCAGTTATACAGAATGGACAACTTTCAAAATTCAAAACACAACTACACACACATACACAAAACTGCAGTATAACAAGCTTTGCCATGTAATTAAAATACTGTAGAGTGTATTCTGTGTGTGCAGCTAAGATGCTATCTCAAGGCAACATGGAATAATTACAGCCGTGTTTACAGAAGAGTAGCAATGAGTGAAAACTTCCAATTGCTGACTTCCCCAATGACCAGCTGTGTTTCAGTCCTAGAGGAAATTGTGCCCAGTAGTTTAACTCTTCTCCCTCCCTCCCTAACTCTTCTGCCAGGGCTGAAAAATGAAGCCAAACGATGAAGTGCCAGTTCCTCAAATGGCCACTTGAGACTATCTACAAAAGCCAGTTAATCTCCACTGGGTACACATCAAAGTGCCCAACTTGCTAGGAGGAATAAACATGTTTATGCCTAGTACAAAAGAAGAAAAAGGTTCTGGTCATGGTAACAGGTGAATTTCTATGTAAGTCGCCCATTTAAATATTGAAGTCCTGCATGATAAAGGGGCCTCTTGGTTACAAGTAGATGCTGGCACAGGTGGCTGGAGCCACTAGCTGCCTGCTAGACATTACCTCAGCTAACTGGAGTAGCTGAGCTGGACCTCTTGACTGTCCTTTTGTGGTGCTGGTGCTGTTTGGAGTGTTGATGTGATTATCTGACAAATAACAGGGCTTGCTGTGAGGTTAATTGCACTGATGATATTGATGTTTTTTTTGTTTTTTTTTTCCCCTTTGGCAATAATTAACAAGTACCTAGTTGTAGCTAGTTAGATGATAACTTCAAACTCTGGTCTCCTGCCTGTGTGTGATCATTTCTGCCTACCTAGATAGAGAACAGCTACATCTATCATTCATCTGTGCTCTGTGATCTGAACCAAGCCAGAGTGAGACTCATGCACATGCACAAAAATGTGACCCGACAGAGAGACAGACAGACAAAGAGACAGACAGACAGACATAGATGATTGTCTCCTGCTCAGTAGGTACGAGTTGATATAGCCCATCATGTCCTGTAATGAGTGACAGACTGGCTGCACATAAAAGCCCTGCGAGGCAGGGAGCCTGGGGAGCTATTACCGAAGAAAGACTTGTGCCTGCATTATTCTCCCTCTCAGTCCTTAAATCATCTGCAGCGAGTCCTCACAGGATCATGTGTACATGCTACAGAGAGACCAACTGTGATAGTGTGTTTATGTAAAAGGGGAGTTGTTGCTGGATTTTGATTTGCACTGCACTGCACACTTGCACGAGCCCCTCACACTGTGCAATTCTTTGTTTTCTTTCCCCGGTGAAATTCTACCTGGTATGAAGACTATGTGGCAATTGTGTAATTACCAATTTAACAAAGCCAGCGTGACTCCGAGGACTTTAACAGCGAGGTACAATTACATCTCAGAGTGGTGGTAAAGGACCAAGTCACGACGCGGTAAAAAGAGGCCTGGAGATGATTTGGAAACAATGATAATGAATAATGACCGACTTGGCTTTTTAGCAAGTGTGTGTGTGTGTGTGTGTGTGTGTGTGTGTGTGTGTGCGTGTGTGTGTGTGTGTGTGTGTGTGTGTGTGTCGGAGAGGTAAGAAAAGGTTTGGAGAGAAGAGGCACTGAGACTTTAATCTTTAATTGCTGCTCCTTACTGTATTAAATCTACTTTTCTGTTCTTCCTTCCTCAGCTATATTTCCCTTTATACTGCATAGCTGTCTTTTCTCTCCTTACTCTTTTCTCTTACTTTCCAACAAAAGGAGTTCAAGTCCTTTCCTTCCTTTACTCTTAAGTTCCTCTCCTGCTTTCTCTTTACTCTTTACCTAACACTCTCAGTATTGTCAGTATATCAGTTTGTAGTCGTCATCTCTTTTCCTGTCTTTTGCTGGCATGTGCGTTTTACCTTATTTACCTCCCATCTGCCCCCTTCCTTCTCTTCATCACAGCAAGTCTAAGACTTCATTTTACCTTCCCTTACCTTTCTGCTTTTTGCTGTCTTATGCTATACTCATTTATCTTTTCGTCTCCCTCTCTTTCCTATTCCCAAACATGTATTTTCCCTTCCATTTCATCCCCGTCCTGTGTGAATACAGTGAGTCTAAGAAATGCTAGCTTACCTAAACAAGAGCGCAATTTCCTTCACTCAGAACCTGCCCCGGGGATTCTTTCATTATGTCTCTATAGATGGCAGCCTCCTGTAGTTTGTTTATTCAATGTATTTACTGAATTACCAGTGGCTATTTACCCCGTAGCATTTCCCTGCCAAAGCAATGGGGTTCAGGTAAATAGGCATAGCAGGTGCTCTATGGCAGAAAGACCAATCTGCTCTGAAAGGTACACGGGCCAAAAAGCATTCACAGTGGATGACAAGGGAGAGAGACTAAATTATTGCAGAGGCACAGCCTGAATCAGCATTGGGAAGACGGCTGTGTTTACTCCTCACAGCGACACATGTGTACATGCAAAAAAAAGAAAGAAGAAGAAGAAAAAAAAAGTAATCCGTAAAACTGAGAAAAGTTCAGTGGGAAGTGGAAAGAAACATGTACCTCTGCAAACATTGCAGCATCTGCCATCTGGTAAGATCTGTTCACTGAGGGTGCAGTTTAGATCTGGACAGGTCTCTGTGACTTTCACCATTAGGCCATTCTGGAAGGACAGGACACAGGCAAGACATCGTGATTTCAGAGATGGGGTCAGATGTGTGAAGGGCTATGCATTAAGAGAGAATCAGTTTTCCACCAGTTATACAATCTGATCTCTTATAATATTTAAAACTGCAACCTCTCATCCACAGGACTGCTTCTTCAACCAATTTTTTTCTTATCAGTCCCATTTCCTGACTTTAAACACTTAAATCAGCTGTTTTTGAAAGGCCATACTGGGTATTGAGTAAATTATATATATTAATATTTCACATCTTTCCTCAATGTCGTCCCTTTGTAGGAAGTAGGAACCATTTTAACTGCTTTCTCATGTCATCTGTAAATAGCCCAGTTTCTTGGTGAACCTCTGTCTCTCCATCTGATCGTGCTTTTTTTCTAAAAATGTATTCTGTATTTCAGTTAATTTTTAATTTATTAAAGCTGCACTATTTCTGCACTACTGACTCAAACAGTAGACACATAAAAACATTTGAATGAGGAAAAGCCTAAATGAGCCAAATAGATCATTTGTCTCTGAAGGAGCCAAAGGAACCATGGAAATAAAATGAATATTAGACTTTAAAACTTGAAAATTAATTATAATGTTGCTCTGTGTGTGACCAGGGTGGAAATAAATATATATATGGTAATATTTTAGCTAGCTTCATAAAACGATTACATATCTAACTGTTACAGCGTTACCATCTGTCAAATAAATGAATATATTCATCACTAATTAATAAAATCACCAGTTTGGCTTAAGCTTAGTCTGTTCGCCCAATCTGCAAAATCTCAGAAAATACCAATAAATGCCGAAAACCTTAAAACCACGTACTTTATTTTTGAAAAGCACTTTTTACTCTATTATTTTTAACATGCAACTATATGTTAATGGTTGTCAAATCAATTCTTTGAATACTGGCATTGTTTGGTGCCATCGACAGCTATGATGAGCTCAGCAACACCAAGCCTGTACACAGTGCAGTATAATTCATCAGTCAGTATTAGTCTTCACAGTATTTACTCAATACTTTGTTGAAGCACCTTTGGCAGGAATACAGCCTGAAATATTTTTGTGTATGATGCTACAAGCTTTGCACATATATTTTTGGCATTTTCTCAAATTTTTCTTTGCAGAACTTCTCAGCCTCCATCAGGTTGGATGGAGAATAATTTCAAGCCATTTTCAGATCTCTCCAAAGATGTTCAATCATTTTGAAGTCTGGGTTCTGGCTCGATCACTCAAGGACATTCACAGAGTGGTCCTGAAGAACCTCCTTTATTATGTCGGCTGTGTGTTTGGGGTTGTTGTTTTGTTGGAAGATGAACCTTCGCCCCAGTCCGAGGTCTAGAGTGCTCTGGAGCACCAAGGATGAACATCAAGGATATATCTTTACATTGCTGCATTCATCTTACCCTCGACCCTGACTAGACTCCAAGTTCCTGCATCCCAAAAAACATCTCCACAGCATAATCCTGCCACCAACATGCTTCACTGTATGGGTTTGCCTGCTCTACCATACAGGCCAAGCTGGTGGAGTGCTGCCAGAATAGTTGTCCTTCTGGAAGGTGCTCTTTTCAAAGAGCAAAGCTGGAGCTCTGTCAAAGTGACCATCAGGTTCTTGGTCGCCTCCCTGAGTAAGGCCCTTCTACCCTAATCAATCGGATTAGCTTGACTGCAAGCTCTAGGAAGAGTCCTGGTGGTTCCAAACTTCTTCCATTTAGAGATGACAGAGGCCGCTCTGCTCATTGGGACTTACAATGCTGCAGAAATGTTTCTGTACCGTGCCCCAGATCTGTACCTCAATACAATCCTGCTTTAGAGTTAAATCCTTAGACATCATGGCTGTCACGCACTATCAACTTTGGGACCATATATAAACAGGTGTGTGCCTTCCAAATCATGTCCAGTCAACTGAATTCACCACACGTGCAGAAACATCTAACAGATGATCAGTGGAAACAAGATGCACCTGAGCTCAAATTTGTGTGTACATGTTTTATTATTGCCATTATTTTATTCAGTTGTTTCACCTTGTCATTGTGCGGTATTATGTGTAGAATTTTGAGGTGAAAAAATAATTTTTAAAAATGTATTTAATACATTTTGGAATAAAATAACAAAAACACAAAATGTAGACTGGGAATACTTTCCAGACACACCGTTTTTAAGACTGTAGAGGCTGGAGGAGTGACAGGTTGTGTAGGGCAAGTAACTCGGATCCTGAATGCTGATGTTTTGGATTTAAATTGTGTAAAAATAAATAAATAAATAAATAAAATACAGTTGAGGTAAACTAAAATGATCAGTACTGAAATAAGCCAGAAGTAATATAAAGAGATTTTAAAAAAAGTTACTTATATTGAACGTATGATTTTCAAGTTAAAGGCTTCTGCTGTATGCTGGATCAGTGAATACTAAAGAAATGGAAATTCTCTGTTTTTGTCAGTGACAATTTTATTTAGAGTCCCTAAGAGTTAATCACCCCTAGAGGTGACCTAGCTTTCAGTTGAAAGCAGTGGCTGGCTCAGAGGTCGTTAATCAAAGTAAAAAGTGATGACATGCTTTTGGCAAGTGATCAAACACACAGGATTTGTAGTCAGTGGACTTAAACATGTGAACGCACTAACAGAGTTTTAAATGAACACTAATGGTTTGAAGCTGCCGAGCAGAATGACTAATGTCACGCATCATAATACTTCATAATTTGACCAAGAGTGGTCCTCTCTTTCCTTCTTTTCTCTTTCTTTTTGTGTTTCTGCCTCATGTTGTATGACACACATACAGATATGTCATTGCTTTTCCCCATTCTCCCCTCCCAGGGTGAGAGGCCAGAGCAAAAATCTGAAGAAGGATCAGATCAGATCAATGCTTCTAAATCTGACATGTCACCACAAAAGAAAAAAACAAACCATGCACATATTGACTTACACACATTAAAACTATCAGGCTGTCTTTGTGCCAAGAGGGCTAAAAAAACAACACATTTTTAACCCCCTTTTAAATATAATATGCCCAAATTGGACTTTTAGCAGATCTTACGTCCAGGAGTAAATGTGATTGTAATTGCTTGAAACAAACATTTGTTGTTTAATGATGTTTCAGGGTCTCTAAGGGCTAATAAAGAGTCCAGGAATCCAAATGTCTGGGTCTTTGTAAGCAATTAAATGCATAAAACGCTAATTTTTCTCCTTAAAATAGTGCCTTTAAAGATAAATGGCTTCTCAGTGGAGAAAGCCCACCTCTGTTCTATGCTGAACTGGAATAATGAGTTCAATTATAATCTACGCAATGATGAAGCTCTGATTCAAATCAGGCCTTTGTGTTGCCGTGTTCATAAGTTATTCTAATTACCTGGCTATCTCGCCATTAGTGCGGTGGGGGAAAAAAAAGGCAGATTGAACAGATTGCAGGAGGGTGGGAAAACTAATAAGGCCTGCTGGTTAATTGAATAACACACCGAGCAGTCCACCGCACACATGAGCACTACATGTTCAAGTTCCAAAGAGGCGTTGTCTGGTGGTTGCACGATAAAGACTAAACGCTGGGGAGAGGATGGAAAAATAAAAGACGAGTTACCTTGCATTCCCGGCAGCTCCTGGACAAAAACCGCTGTCCCTCAGAAAATGTCTGTTCCATGTAGGTACATTTTGCTGCAGGCAAAAAAAATAAATAAATGAACAACAAGACAAGACAATTTCTATATCACTTTGTTTGGGTAAGCACAAAAACTATGAAATACCAGAAATTGAATAAATTCTTCAGCTAACACTGAGAATTGGAGGTTGCCTACAAAAAAAAAAGTTTCCAGGCTGAAGTTTTGCATAGTTAATTCCATCTGAAACAAAGTTGTTCTTGGCTAGTGTGCACAAGCGGAAAGGAACTGTAACAGCGCATTAAGAATACAACAGAGGAAGTCTCTTCTGCATATTCCTCTGGTGATAAAGCAGAAATAGAAAGTGAAGCATATGATATGAAGTCCTGCTTTTTCTCCTCTCCGGGGTGCAGGACTGTGGAGCACTCAGTCGCAGCTCCGGAGCGCCGCTCCATCATTCGTTTGTGCCAGAGCTCTGATGTTCACAGGGGAGGAAGACGAGGAAGGAGTGAATGGAGGGAGAGGCAGAGGAGGCTGAAATTATTCAAAGGCTGTCTGTACTTTGGGGATTCAGTGTTTTTGCAGTATAGTAAGAAGACAGTTGTCTCTGAGCAGTAAGCAGACCCCTGTGTGCTTTTTACAGTGATTCCATTTCAGCTTCCATAAAAATCAGATGACTGTGATCTAACAGCAAATGATTGAAACGAGACTCCAAACGTGTTTTATTTGGACATTTTAGCATCTAGAGGCTGAGAAAATATTCATTTTTAACCTGTGACAGCTGTCACTTGGTGTTCGCTCGCTCTGCGGTAGAGTATCACTTCCTGTTCCTGCTCAAACACAGTGGTGTTTCTGAGTAGCTTAT